AAGCACAGCAGCTAACTGCTCTTCATAACTGTCAGGCCTCAGAGCAAGAAGTTTCTTTGACATGAGTGAATAAGATGTGATTAAGTTGCATTTTGGCTAATTTGGGGGGGGGTTGGTGGGTGTTAGCCAGTTATTTGATATGATAGCTGTTTTATACAAGTCGTTTACAGAGTAAGATGACATATCGAACTTAGCTAATTTTAGGAGTCATCATGTTATAAAGTTTATTCTGTGAATACCAAAATTGTCATTTTCTAAGAATACTGCACTGATCTTGAAATATAAGTTTATTCTTTTCTATCAAGACTGTGGCAATTCAATGTTGTCTCTTGATAAATATTTTGATATTGAAAGCTTATTCTGTATGGTTTATTTGATGTGTTTTAAATCTTGCATGAGTGGATCAAGGAACTCTTAAGAAAAGGTCAAACAACAGCATATGAGAAATGTAGGTGCTTCAGTAGCCACGTGGGCATGGGAAAGTGAGAATTTTGAGAAACTTATTTCATAAGTGTGTATCATAGCTGATCAATTTAGAACACTTTCTTTGATGAGAGGTGAATCTCACATTCACCTGAACTGGCATCCCAACTGTCTATTTCCTGAGTGATGGGACAAGGGGAAGCACATGATAAATATTTGCGGTGTTCTGGCATCAATGCCTCTGATGTTTTCGAGTTTAAATACTCTGTAGCATTCATCATCAGCTTTGACATTGATTCTCTAAGGTTATGATTTGCTCCACTGTTTACTGGTCCCTTTTATCCTTATCAGCTCAACATGTTCACATTAATATCCATACTTTTCTATTTTAGTTATAGGCATTTGAAACAATCTCACTTTTGAAATATAAACTTTCTGATTTAGGGATCGTATATTCCTGTTTTACTCAGTATATTTCCATTACCTTGCTGTCCTAGGCATTGAAAACTCAGCTTCATACTAACACCGCATGAATGTTTGGTTGGCCCTGTCATATCTACACGTAATTGACGATGTGTCCCCTTTGCTTTGTAGGCCCTCCTGAATAACATCCTTCCTTGAAGGTAATTATATATATTTATTTTTAGTTACTAACTTTGTATTGTATAAAATATATATTATTTATTAGTTATTTTCTTTTAAAACCTAGTCAGCCTACCACTGAAATGGAAGATCGTGTTGTACAAAGAAAGAATGTATAGACACAGAGAGCAGGTACATTTTCAATACAAATGGAATGCTGGAAATAAGTATATTAAATGACTGGAAGTACTCACATTTTTCTTACCCCTAATTCTTTTTATTCTAAATGGAATAGAAGGCATTGACATAAATTTGTTATTGTTGGTATCCATATTTCAATAAAATTAAATTTAGAAATAAAAGAAAACAAGCTTTTAAAAATGAGTTTTAACTCAGATGTTTCTATTTTAATATTTTGAAAAGCATGACGTTTCCAAAAAGGAATTTTATATTTCTTAGGGATTCAAAGCAGTAAATTTTGAGGTTCTAAGATATTTCCAGTATCTTATGTGCTAGTTGGAGTTCTGAAACTTACCTAAAGGAATGCTTTACTTAGATATTCGTTTCTGTATTAATGTTAGAGACTTCCTGTTAATGTTATTACACCAATGATGTGAAACCAATTGAGATGTTCTAATGAGCAGACTGTGTGCATGTGTGTGTATGGGTGTGTTTGTGGCATCTTTGATTATTAAAAACTAGGAAAGTAATTCATAACTGGAAGACAGTCTTAAAATGGTGGTTTTGAGACTTTTTGGTATAAAAGTTTTTAAAAATATGTAATTGCGGGCCGGGTGTGGTGGCTCACGCCTATAACCCCAGCACTTTGGGAGGCCAAGGCGGGTAAATCATGAGGTCAAGAGATCGAGACCATCCTGGTCAACAAGGTGAAACCCTGTCTCGACTAAAAATAAAAAAATTAACTGGGCATGATGGCATATGGGCCTGTAGTCCCAGCTACTCGGGAGGCTGAGGCAGGAGAATTGCTTGAACCCAGGAGGTGGAGGTTGCGGTAAGCCGAGATCGCGCTATTGCACTCCAGCCTGGGTAACAAGAACGAAACTCTGTCTAAAAATAATAATAATAAGAATAATAATAATTGCATAGAGGCGACCAACATCAGGAACACCATTGAGGCTACCAACATCACTGGCTGTTTTCCATTTCAATACCCTTTTGAAATCCTTAACTGTATTGTGATGCTCAGAAATAATATGCAGAATTTTTATTTGTGTCCCAAAATGGAATGTGAGTGGTTCTTACACTTTACATATCATTCTGCCACTTTCTTGTGGGTACTTTGTATTATATTTTCAAGATGTATCCACACTGATAGGATTTGCTCTGGTTTAATGCATTCTACACTTTTCACTGTATTCCCTTATACTACTCTACCACATTGAATTAGACTCTCCTGTTGCCGATAAATGAAGAAAGAAAAAAAAAAGAAATAGAAAAATAGGCCAGGCGCGGTGGCTCAAGCCTGTAATCCCAGCACTTTGGGAGGCCGAGGCGGGTGGATCACGAGGTCAAGAGATCGAGACCATCCTGGTCAACATGGTGAAACCCCGTCTCTACTAAAAATACAAAAAATTAGCTGGGCATGGTGGCGGGTGCCTGTAATCCCAGCTACTCAGGAGGCTGAGGCAGGAGAATTGCCTGAACCCAGGAGGCGGAGGTTGCGGTAAGCCGAGATTGCGCCATTGCACTCCAGCCTGGGTAACAAGAGCGAAACTCCGTCTCAAAAGAAAAAGATAAAAGAAAAATAGGTTGGGTGTGGTGGCTCATACCTGTAATCCCAGCAGTTTGGGAGGCTGCGGCAGGCGGACCACGAGGTCAGGAAATCGAGACTATCCTGGCCAACATGGTGAAACCCCATCTCTATTAAAATATTAAAAAATAGCTGGGTGTGGTGGTGCATGCCTGTAGCCCCAGCTATTCGGGAGGGTGAGACAGAAATCACTTGAACTCAGGAGGCAGAGGTTGCAGTGAGCCAAAATCGCGCCATTGCACTCCAGTCTGGCAGCATAGCAAGACTCTTGTCTCGAACAAAAAACGAAAAAGAAAAAGAATGTCATATTAAAAGGAGCTTTTGTTTAATCAGTTTGTACCTGTGAATATTTACTGTATGAGAGTTTAAGGCTGAGAAGTTCAGAATGCAAGCATGCACCACCATATTTTAGAAATGCCCTTAAAATTATGACTCATGAGCCTTTAGCCTACGAAGTTCCAACAATTCATTTCTCTAAAGAAGTTTACTGTACTGTTATTTAGACTGAAAATAGCAAATAACATTGTCTATTTGACCTCTTGAATGTCCTCGAATGAAACTGCAACTTACTCATGTCAAAATTCAGAACCAAGGTTTTGAACAACATATATATAGTTTGTGAAAGTCTCATGATCGTAAGCCCTTGATTATGAAATGGCCTTTCAAGTTTTACTTTTGCATTTTTTGCTCTTTTTCTTGACTTGTCATACAAAAGCTTAAATTCAATAGTTTTATTCCTACAGAAAGGAGGAATTTAATTTTTTAATATATTTCTGTCTTGCCTCATGGCATTGTGAACTCTTCAGATCAGGTGTGGACCTAGACTTATTTTTACATGGAAACAATTAGGTTTGTTTCTTTGTTGTTGTTGAGACAGAGTCTTGTTCTGTGATATGGTTCAGAGTGGATAAGCTCTTAAAGCAGTCATCTTTCCAGTGGTTCTTTCTGTGGGAGGTAAAATGGCAGGTGAATTTGGGCCTTGTTTTATGTAGGGCAGAGCACATAGCTACAACTAAGTAAAACACACAGCACATTCCCCAGGAGTATTGGCCAGAGTAACACATTACTATCTCTTGAGCTCTTCTCCACTGGCAGCTGGAAAGTTTTTGCGAGAATCCCTCTTTCTGGTCTGATTCTTACGTTTTGCTGACTTTTGGTGATAGGGTGTCTTATCCTAAACTGAACAGTTTTAACTAAAGAACTAGAATGTGTTGTGTTACAACAAGTAAGTGCAGTAGTTCCCCCTTAACTATGGGAGATACATTTAGAGGCCCCCAATGAATGCCTGAAAGCACAAATAGTGCTGAACCACTGTTTTTTTTCTTTCTATATAGTACTTACATATCTATGATAGTTTATAAATTAGGCACATTAAGAAATTAACAACTAATAATAAAATGAAAAATTATAGTAATATGCTGTAATAAAAGTTATTTGAATGTGGTCTCTTAAATATATGGTATGGTTCTCACCCTTTTTCCTGTGATGATGTGAAGTGATACAGTGCCTATGTAATGAGATGAGGTGAGGTGAATGATGTAGGCATTGCCACGTAGTGTTAGGTCACTATTCACCCCGACTCTAAGTCAGAAAAAAAGATTATCAGCTTTGAGTGTTCCTGGACATTCAGGCCTTAATGATGTTGATGGCTGGATGCAGAAGGAGACCATGTTGATGACTAGGGCTGGACAGCCCATGCAGTGTGAATGCACTGGACAAAGGAATGATTCACATCCTGGGATGGATAGAGGGCAATAGCTCAAGATTTTATTGTGCTTCTCAGACTGGCACACTAACACTTAGGACTTGTTTATTTCTGGAGTTTTCAATGCAATCTGTTTGGAATACAGTTGACTGTTAGTACCTGTAACCACATAATTCAAAACTGCAGATGTAAAATCTGTGTTTGGACTTTGACTCATTTCTTGGTGTACAATTCTTAAAATCCTTAGAATTTCCAAAGTGATGTCTTTTAGTATGCTAATGATCGATGGCTGGAAGCTCCTAGGTAGATTCAGGATGGGAACTGGTACCATCCTGAAGACATGCCTGATTAAGAGGGTTGAGATCTTCTGTCTCACTCTGCAAACTCTGGGGAGGAGACAAGGGCTGAAAGTTGTCAGTCACCAACAGCCAGTGGTTGATTAGTTATGCCTATGTATTGAAGCTTTCATACAGACCCAAAGGGACTGGGCTTGGAGAGCTTCCAGATCGCTGAAAACATGGAGGTTCCTGGAGGGTGGTGTGTCCTGAGAGGGCATGGAATCTCTGTGCCACTAAGCCCCATACTTTGCACTATACATCTCTTAAAATGTACCTTTTGTACGGTCATTCATAGTATGCTGCTAAGTGTGTTTCATGAGTATTTTGAGCCATTCCAGCAAATTCAATTTAACCCAAAGAGGGAGTCCTGGGAACCCCAATTTGAAGTTGATTGGTCAGAGTTCTGGAGTCTCAGACTTAGGACTGATGTAGTGAGGCAGTCTCACAGGACTGAGACCTTTACCTGTGGAATCTGATGCTGTCTGCAGACAGAAAGTGAGAACTGAATTAGACGACACCCAGTTTGTTTCATCTGCAGAAGTGACTGCTTGCCTGTTGGTGGGAAAAACCCTCTCCACATGTTTGGTCACAGAATCCTTCTTTGTTGATGACTTGCTGTGGTGTGAGAGCGGAGAAAAACATGGCAAATGTGTCTTTTCCACACATACAGTGGATAAGGGGTACTGCTATTTACTCTGTTTTAACTGCCCCCCTCAAGTTTTGGTCTAGAAATCATGGTGTTTGACACTGGTCAGTCATGCATAACAAATAAAAAGTAAGGGAAGTAAGAGTTCTTACTGCATTGATTACATACCAATAGGTATAATTTATATTAATTCTAATAAGGTCCAAGGTATGCTCCCAGATGAATGCTTTGTAACAAAGCATCAGTCTTATATTTAAAGAAAAATGATCTAAATCATGTACACAACTGTGCATACTTTTAATGAAGATAGCATCTTGCTATGTTTCCTAAACTGGTCTCAAACTTCTGGGTTTCTCAAGTGATCCTCCTTCCTCAGCCTCCCAAATAGTTGAAATTATAGGCATGCATCACTGTACTTTCTTATGGTTTTAATATTCTATACATTATTGATTTAAAATGCATTTTACCTTTTCCTTTAATAGAGTCTGGGAGTTTTGATGAATCTGCAGTCAGGTAGGATTTTACAGATTTTACTTTCTTATGGTTTTAATATTCTATACTTTATTGATTTAAAATGCATTTTACCTTTTCCTTTAATAGATTCTAGGAGTTTTGATGAATCTGCAGTCAGGATTTTACAGATTTAAAAATTATGTTAACTAAGAAAACATAGATGGAAGAAACTAGTATCTATTGAGTGTTGCATTCTGGGCTACCCACCCTATTATGTGCTATGCATTTATCTCATAAAGCCATCACAACATCTGTTTTCTTATAACCTATTGTTTATTAAATAGGCAACTGTGGTTTAGAGAGGCTGATTAATTGGATTATATGATCCCATAGTTCATAAAGTAGCTGACCCAGAGTTTGACCGTCAGCCTATTTGGCTTTCAAATCTTTTCTCCTGTTCCTCAGCACAGATTGATAGATATCTGAGCAGCACTTTGATCAAGGTGTATGTCTGAATAACATTAATCAGATAAATTATTTTAATGTCTAAATTAATGAGTTTAAATAAGTTAAACTCTGATTTTAGGTTACTATTAGAAATGAGGTTAGTCCTTGAGTTTGTCCCAATAAATTTCATGATTTTTGTGGTAAGCAGCATTTTTATTTTTTTTTAATTAACAATCAAAGCCTTTAAGGCAGAATAAAGGTTTGGCCATAGGAATGGAAGTTTTATAAAACCAAGATTTGGCAAGTCTTGGAGAGAAATTATTTGCCTTCCCAGTTTTGTTTTCCCTTTAGGCTAGTATTTCTGCCTACTTCCGTAAGGCTTTTTTATTTTTCTTTTTCCACGACTTTTCTTCCTCGGTGTTTCTTTTGTTATGTTTTCAAATTCTACTGGCTGTGTGTGTGTTCCCAATTTTCCTATAGACAGAACCAAAAGCCCACAGAATTACAGAAATTTAAGGAGTCTTAGGACTAATTAAAATATCTTCTAGTACTTCAATCTGTGTTGAATGTTCTGGTCAAGGGATTTTCTAGACAGCGAACTCGAGACTCAAAGAGATTAGGCTCCTTTTTTTTTTTGGACATAAGACATGGTAGAAATGAGATTTCAACTCGTTTTAAAGCCCAATAGTCTTCCTTCTTTTTTTAGTCTCTTGGCATGTTTTGTTGTTGTATTTGTTGTTTGTTTTTTGAGACAGAGTTTTGCTCCTGTTGCCAGACTGGAGTGCAGTAGCACAATCTCAGATCACCACAACCTTCACCTCCTGGGTTCAAGCGATTCTCCTGCCTCAGCGTCCTATTTGGGATTACAAGCATCCACCACCATGCACGGATAATTTTGTATTTTTAGTGCAGACGGGGTTTCTCCATGTTGGTTAGGCTGGTCTCAAACTCCTGACCTCAGGTGATCTGTCCACTTCGGCCTCCCAAAGTGCTCGGATTACAGGTATGAGCTGCCAGGCCTGGCCTGGCATGTGTTTTAATAATACAAAGGGGGAGTGAATCTAGTGCACCCAGCAGATAGAATGAGAATGGAATTTAGCTAGTGAACCCAATGGAAATGGCTAAGAATGGAATGAGCAGGGCAAGGCCAGATTTGAAGAGAAACGACCCTGGATACAGATTATTCAGTAAGAGATTAGAATATTGGGGTTTATGACAAGTCTGATAAATTATAAAGATGACGGACACAAGATACTGGGAATTATCTACAAAGGCACATTAAAATAGACGGTTCAGGGAAGCTCTAAACAGATTGCTGTGCTCTTTTTAAATCAAGAACTGACAAACTTGAAGATTTTTGCTGTAAGATGCTAAAACATTTGGAGACTCTGGGAGGAGTCTGTACATCACACAGAAATGTGGTATCATCTAATTCCATCCTGACTGACAGAGGAGGCTTAGAGCCCCTTGAGTACTGATGGGCTCCAGATTGCTGAACTACGTAGATCAGTGGCCCAGGACAGGTGTCTCCTCATCTCTGCCTCTCTTCCCAATTCACTGATGTCCTTCCCATAGCACATAGACTGGGTCAGGGGCATCATTGACTGTCAAATCCGTCATGAAGTTCAGCTGGGTAGTTGGAGGTGTGTCTGTCCTGGTAGTTAGTAGAGACTCTAGTTAGGCTGTTATTCAGGAGCAGGGACATAGAGCGCTCCTACTCCTGGCCATTTGAGGCCATCTTTACAGGAATCTGTGCTTTCAGAGACTGAAGATATCAAGACTGGAAACTGCCATGGAGCCCTGCATAAGTGGAATCTGGAAGTGGGATTCCAAAGGAAGAAAGATATTTAGATAGTTCTTAGGGAAACAGAGGTACAACTGCCAGGACTCTGTTTTTCCAGCAGTCTCTCTCACTGGATATCTGAGTGCCTATCAAGGTTTTAAGGGCTTACTAGTTTATGAGGTCCTGAATAAGGTAGGATCTATAGAGTGAAAATAATTATATTTTTATAATTGTTAATGTTTTAATCTTTCTGGGAAGAGTATCCTCAATAAGAAAATACACCTTCATTTTCAGACTTTTGTACATTTAGCTCTCGTACATTTCAAATATAGTAGGGGATTCTCTGTACTCTTTAGAACAAAGGAAAGCATTGGGACCTTAAGTGGTTTTCATGCTGAGGAATCAAGACTGCCATTTTGAAGTGACAAAGATTAGTCTTTTAACCAGAGATAGATAATGGACAAGAGACAGTGGATCTTTCTACCTTGTTTTAGGTCATAAGGTTCCTTCCAGTTTAGGTGACAAAAGTTATGTCATCCATTAATTGAATTTCATGTTCTGCTTCAGGACAGATAATTTGTGAGGGTACGTTATTGTCAAGCTCTGCCAATGTATCGGCTGTCACTATTTGTTACGGAGCTTAAAGTTAGTTTTCAATGAATATTTTGGAGATTGACAGTTGAAGGCAGAAATAGGTAACCAAAATCTATTTTTAGAACAGGTTATTTAATAGACAGATGGCTGACCTCTTCACACATTGTGTTTTTGTTTTTTGGAGCAGGAAGCTGAATATGAACTGGCAGTTTACAAGTTTATAAAAAAAAAAATAATAATCTGATTTATATTTTATATTTTTGCTCTAAAGCATTTTCCACGAACTGTGTGCGGATTCATGCCCGAAACCAGATGATGAAGACTTGACTGTTACTACCAAGGTAAAGTGGTCTCTTGTAAAATTTTCTCACTCAGTCAACTTTTGCATAGTATTAACTTTTAAAATTTGGCAGTGGTTTACCTATTACTGTTTTATGATGGTTATGGACAGTTGGTCAGAGAAAACCATACACACATGGCTAGTTGATTAAAAAATTTTATTTAACAGTAACTAACAAAAGATTGATAAGAACTGTAACAGGGTGGAGGATGAACAAAAATGAACTGGAAGACACATAGCAACAGAAAATCACATTAGGAAATGCTTTCCCCAATAGAGAAAATGTGAAATTTGGTTAAGGTTTAATTAAATATTAATACTTTGACTTTTAAATCATACTACTGTGACATCTATATTTTTGCCAGTATTCATCTTAAGTGGATCAAATTAAGTGTGGTAATCATGGAATCACCCTGGCACCTTTTAGTCGAAAAACTGTACAACAAACAACATATAGCTGTTTTTCTTGGACACTTACTATTTGGGTATTATATACTTGGTAAGAGAGATTGTTCTTCTACTTATATTATTGGTTCTGTAATGAGACTAAAATATTAAAAATTATAGAAAAAAATAGCTGGGTGTGCTGATACATGCCTGTAGTCCCAGCTACTTGGGAGTTTGAGGTTGCTTGAGCCCAGGAGTTTGAGAACCACCTGGGAAGCATAACAAAACTGCATCTAATTTATTTTTAATACTTTTACTAAGTTCTGGGGTACATATGCAGAACGTGCAGGTTTGTTACATAGGTATACACATGCTGTAGTGATTTGCTGCATCCATCCCCCTGTCATCTACATTAGGTATTTCTCCTAATTTTATCCCTCCCCAGTCCATCCAACCCTGCTATCCCTCCCTTATTCCCAACAGGCCCGGGTGTATGATGTTCACCTCCCTGTGTCCCTGTGTTCTTACTGTTCAACACCCACTTATGAGAACCTGCAGTGTTTGGTTTCTGTTGTTGTGTCAGTTTTTTGAGGATGATGGTTTCGAGTTTCATCCATGTCCCTGCAAAGGACATGAACCCATCCTTTTTTTATGGCTGCATAGTATTCCATGGTGTATTATGTGCCACATTTTCTTTATCCAGTCTATCATTGATAGGCATTTGGGTTGGTTTCAAGTCTTTGCTATTATAAACAGTGCTGCAATAAACATGTGTGTGCATGTGTCTTTATAATAGAATGATTTATAATCTTTTGGTATATACCCAGTAATGAGAAAGCTGAGTCAAACGTTATTTCTAGTTCTATATCCTTGAGGAATTGCCACACTGTCTTCCACAGTGGCTGAACTAATTGACACTCCTGCCAACAGTGTAAATGTGTTCCTGTTTCTCCACATCCTCTCCA